TCGAGTGAAAAATCTTAGAACAGCTCCATGCTTAAAACCGAATTTAGTAATCATCATCCTCTCCAAAAGATCAAAGACAGGCATAGCAAACACTTGGTAGCTGCCAATGACGTGAACAACAACCATGAGATTAGCAGAAGCAATAAGCCAAGCTGGTCTCTGTAGATTTATCAGCACGTTGTCGTCTACGTCTTGTCCAAAGGCCCAATAGCAGATTAGAGCCACTGGGAAATAGCAAATGGCATTGACAAAGTAAGCTCCCATCACTCCTTGCCACATGGGCACCTTCGATGGCCTCTCTGGAGTCGAAGGCATTGTGGCTTGGATCTCTAGAGCCACGGCGTGACCCGCAAAAGCAAATGAGATTTGACCTAAGGCATTGAAGGTTCGGAACGTGAGGTCACTTGCATTCGTCGCCTTGTAACCGTAGCTCACGTCAGGCAATCTTCCATGTGATATACTTCCTGCCCACGCTATCGTCGAGTAGCTACAAGACATAACATATATTACAAAGTTTGATCAGCACTGACCTAGCTAGCTTTTGTAACGATCCATTTAGATCTGGAATATAATCTGGATCTAACCATTCTGTCTAGGCCATTAATTTGAGCTTGTATAAATTGGCCTAGTACTCTAGATATACAACGTCTTTGTTAGGAGTTGATGCACGTAATTCATGTGAATTTATTTTCTTTTCAATGTATGTAAATGTTGAAAATGAGAAAATCCAATTAAAAAACAAAAATAGTAAACTGTATGTCTGCCCTTAGCAGTATGAAAAAAAAACACAAATTATTATATATTTTGTTTCTACACCGAAGTAATATAAATTCAAACATTACATATTCAAAAACTAGATAGTACCTCCAACTTGACTCTAGTTTTTATTTCAAAATAGAGTTGGAAATGAGTTTTTTTTTTACCATATTGTATTTTCATTTTGTTATAGAATAAAAATTAGAATTACTCTAAAACTAGAAATATATCATTTATTTTTATTTATCACTCTAATTTTACTATAAAATAGATAAAATTTAATTCCATTATGAGTGATTAGAGTCTCTTTTTGTCAAAAAGGCTCTAAACACTCAAGGGCCACGCTAATTCAACTTCTTGTTGTAAATAATTATAGTCCAATACCTGTCTAAAGTGGTATAGTTCTAACAGTTTTGTTACAACACGATAATGTGATTCCATGTCATTTTTCTAATAACTAAAAAACATGATCTACTAACAATATTATATTATATGGTACTGCACCGAAATGGTAAAAGGACTGTGTGATGATACAAGGTGTGAGGGAGAGTGACCTGAGGGACATGACGGCCGCAGCCAAGGAGACACCGGCGACGGAGTTGAAGTTAGGAAGCTGGGAGAGGAGGAAGTGGACCCCACCGAAGGCGAGGATCCAGTACGTCTGTCGCACGGGAGTGCAGGTGGAACACGTGATATCCACGAAATTCTTTACGCACTTGCCACCAGTGACCATGTAAACAATGCAGCACCCGACCTGGACGATGAGCTGTTGTGGTAGGACGATCCATGGGCCGAGTTTTGGGCCGAAAGCGTACCGACCTAGATCGATATACCGGTCAAAACGGTTTCCAGGTACGCACTCATGGAGCTGTACCATCTGCCACATCGTGTTAAGGGTCAGTCCCCATGTCAGTGCCAACATTAATGTCCCTGGTCCCCTGTTTTCACCACACATCAGTTATCTTATTATATTTTACTAACCAACAAAAAATATACAATTGATTCGTCTTTTGTTGTTTTCTTTAGTTTTACATGTTCTATTAATCTTCTTATATTGGAGTTTACTTGCAACTAGTTCATAATCATCATCTTAAAGTGCATTTGCTTTTTTGGCTTTGCATTTTCTATATAAATCTTCTTATTTTAGATGCGACTAGTTCAAAATCATCATCTTAAGTGAAATATATTTGTTTTTTCTTTTATGCATGTTGTAGAGTATTCTTAGAGTGTAATCTTCTTATATCTGAATTTAGTTACAAGTAGTTTCATAATCATCAGCTTAAAAAGTGTAATTTTTTGTTCATGTTCTATGAATCTTCTTATATCTAATTTTTTTTTTTTAATAATTGCAAAAGTATCAGCCTAGTAACGAGCAATTACGAGCCTAGGCTAAAAATCTTGTGGTTAAAAAAAGCATAATTGAGGGTATAAAGTTTGTAGAAATAGTAAGAGTACCAGCCCAGGTAAGCCATGGCATAAGGGAGGCTAAGAACTCCGGCACCGATCATGGCGGTCACGGTGTGGAAGGTGGAGTACCACCACTTCGCTGGCCGTGATGTATCTCCAGCCGTCCATTTCTCGCTGGACTTCCGATCAGTTTCCTGCAAAAACGTACGACTGATTAATAAGAGAAAATAAAGAATGAAATGAGAAAGTGGCTGACTATGGATGAATACCTTAGAAGGAGAAATGGGAGAAGTAGAGACCATTGTGTGTGTGTTTTTGCAGTCTAGTGAGATGGATATCAATTCCCTTAAAACATAGAGAACTCTGAGCTTTTAAAGTAGTGTTTTTGAGTTTTCATTTTGTCCAAATAAAGTTTTTAATGTAAATAATATAAACAAATAATTGAATAAATATAAAGTTTACGTAAATTTCTTAAAGATCTTACCTAAATTAAATGAACCTGTTGGGCTTTTCATTTTTTTTTCCCGGCTTATTTTTTATTGGGGATACTCACTAAACGGATTTTTGTTTTTCTTCGGCATCATTCAAAAGTTCTGAAGTTGATTGAGTTTCGAAACGTGTAACATTGTCAAATCCAAGAAATGCGTAAGAAATCAAAAGATCATTAAAATGCTAGACAGTAGTCAGTAACCAACAACAGGCTCCATAATATCATCTTACTTTCAAAAAGAAACAATCACATCTTTCATATATATATACTTGTTTTATCGTTATTGTTTTTCTCATCCAATTAGTCGTCATAACTCATATTTGGAATAGCTACGCCATATATACAGAACATGCAGATACATCATACAAAACGAAATGTAATGCAACGACGATGCACTTTACGTCGTTGCCTTTTGGTATGCCAATTTTATTCAATTTGTGACACTCTCCCAAATAAGTTGGTCTATATTCTACTGTTGAAATATGTCTTGTCATTTCGAATTAGATGATTTGATTAGGAGAATAAAAGCTTGAAGAAAACTAAAGAATAATCATGCAGCCAACCAACTACATCCATTACATAGAGAATTAAAGCGTCTCTATTTCGAGTACTATTTAGCTTTTTAGGTTTTATATTTTATCAACTTGCATCTTTGCTTTTTCCGTATCCCACTTAATGGTGCCACCATTACTCTTTTAGTCCAAGCCTGTGAGGATTAAAAAATAGACCGAAAAAGTTCAGTGCTGGCATTTTCTTTCACTCGACCAGCTTTTAAGAAAAGGGCCTTTGGTTTTGTTCCCATGATTCGATTGAGAGAAAATCTAATGGGTGCGGTGAATCGTATCATAGCTTGAAATTTGGTGTAAAGTTAGAGTGTATTAATCGTATTTTATCATTTTTATGTGCCACGTGAATAAGACCCACCACCTCAAGTAGACTCACCTTGATTTTTGGACAAGAGTGAGCTCAAGACTGGACAAGAGAAGTCATGTTTGTCTTCCTCGATTCAAAAAGAGTTTTAGTGCGCGTCATAGTTGCTATGTCGTATCAAATATCAATCATTGAGTTTTCTTTCTTTGGTTTCTAGACAACTTATCAGTAATGTTGGTCTAGCCACTTATTTTAAAAATAGTACGTACAAGTTCCAAACTCAAAATGATGAAGTTGACAATATGAGATCTGGCAATATAAAAACTAATGTGAGCCACAAACTCAAGTACCGATTAGAGGTGGAACATCAATTAAACGACCTAAAATTTAGGCAATGGAATGGACAACAATTTAAAAAAAAAAGATATCTAGAGAGGTTAAAGTAACCGTAACGTCTAAGACTTGTTCGCTTTGTTTAAATTTCTACATGAGTTATTAAGCTTTGGTTTCCATCAAACTAAACATTTGTTTTAATGCATTAAGTTAATCAAAAGATATGGAAAATAGAAAATGACTAGAAGGATACAATATAGGAAACATTTTGGCTTTGTTACTTCAGATGGAGCTAGCTAAATTGGGATGTATGAGCAATAAGTTATTTGTATATATATGAAGGATACATTCTCTTTGCTTCTCTAAAAAATGTTACATTATTGTCTAACCAGGATTTAAGAATCTCAATACATCTCTTAAACCATCGTCATTTGAATCTACATTGGCTTCTAGAGAGTTATAGATCCTATGCCACTTTGCTAACTGGAATAGGATCTTCAACTCTCTAGAAGCCAAAGCAGATTCTCTAAAAAATGTTACATTATTGTCTAACTAGGAATTAAGAATCTCAATATATCTCTTAAACCATCGTCATTTGAATCTTCATTGGCTTCTAGAGAGTTATAATCTGCATTGATTTCTAGAGAGTTATAGATCCTATGCCACTTTGCTAACTGAAATAGGATCTTCAACTCTCTAGAAGCCAAAACAGATTCAAATGAAGATGGTTTAAGAGATGTATTGAGATTCTTAAATCCTAGTTAGACAATAATGTAACCTTTTCTAGAGTAGTCAGAGAATGCATCCTTCATATATTTACAAATGAACTTAAAATCTAATCACGATTGATCCTTTATTTACTCGTCAATCTGATAAACACCGAGAGCTTGAGGACTAAACTATGAAAAGAAAAAAGTTAAAGACAAATCACATTAATATGTTTCTCTAGAGAATAAAACAAAGACATTTGGTTGCTTAGTTAATGATCAGACCCACATGAGGATGCCATTTTTCAGGCAGAGGCAAATGACACAAACTAAACAACGATCTTCATCGAGATGACCAAGAAGACGGAAATCATTTGTGTTTATATGATGAAACTAATTAGCAGAAAGTAAAAAACGTGACGAAGAGATATCAAGCTTTATCCCATGAAGCCAGCTCCTGGCATGGTAGGCTGCCCTCCGCCACCACCACCTTGTTGTGATCTTCCAGGAGCTTGCACAAAAGCTTGACCACCCATTACTCCTGACCCAACCATCTGTTGAGGCTGCTGCTGCTGCATCTGATTCAATGGCGAAGTTTGTTGCTGCATCTGATTCAGTGGCGATGTCTGCTGCTGCTGCTGCTGCTGGTGATGATGTTGAAGCTGTGACAACTGGTGCTGTTGTTGCTGTTGCTGCTGATGATGTTGGAGCTGTGACATTTGATGCTGCTGCTGCTGGAGTTGTGGCAGCTGTTGCTGAGGGTGGTGTTGTTGTTGCTGCTGCTGCTGGATCTGTTGTTGTTGCTGCTGCTGCTGGATCTGTTGTTGCTGTTGTTGCTGCTGAATCTGTTGTTGTTGTTGTTGTTGGAGTTGCTGACTTGCAATTTGTGGCTTAAACACAACCATATCCTGAACCATCATAGAAAACAAACGATTTTGTAACTTAACCGATATGCAAGATGGATTATATTAGACTCTTTTAGCATTCAATATGGAAATAAAACACAAGAGCCACAAAAATATTGGATACATGTGAAGTGAAATCATCTGTAGACACCTTAATTAGTGCTTACTTACCCCTGGAAAAAGCATTCCAATCAAGCGGCAAGCCTTGTCAGAGACAGAGAGAAGCAGCGTCTGTGATGGCAGCTGGATGACTGCACACTGCACTTCAAACGAGTGAAATAATTAGGAAAGTGAGACAAGTAGCGTAAAATAGCAACAAAACTCACAAGCTTCTTATCCTGAAGTTGTCCTAAAAACCCATGTTGACTCATGGCTCGAAACACGAGGAAGTCAGCTTTGCCAACATATTGCCTGGTACAAAGGGAGATACAAAAATTAATAGCACTAAAACAACATCCAAAAAGCCATAGTAAGAAAGTATTACTTGTTATTCATATGATCCTGGGATATAAGCCGAACAATCTGCATAGTCGGTGGCCAATTGGCTGCCAACCTGGGGACAACGCACAGAAAGAGAAAGCAGAGATTGTTTTAAATGCTAAAATCATATTTTAAGAAATAGACTGCAATGGAAACCTGTTCTTCGCTTGAATAAGTAAAACAATTTCCATATTTAAATAAGTTAACTTACGAATCAGAGGCAGAAGCACTTCGGTAACCCTGTCAAATATAAACAAAGTTGTTACCACAACTCAATGGTTAAGCGCAATAAGGATGTGATCCCGGAAAATATATAAAGGGAAAAAGAAGAGCCAATCAAGGTGACCGTCAGTGCCCTAAACACACACCTCAAGTCTGGTGATAAGAACAGGCTGCCCTTGTCTCTGCCCAGATAAATTTCCCTATATGAATTTGAAATTGTAAGTTAATTTAGCACAAGACCACCGCTATTTCAGACAAAGTAAACTGATGTTACCTCCCAGACTTTAACATATTTGGATTGAGAAGGCTGCATAGCCCCCGACGATGGCTGTGACAACTGCATATTAGGAGCTGAACTGTTACTACCACCAAGTTGTTGTATTCCTAATTGCGCTTGTTGACCAACTCCCGGAGTAGGCATCATTCCACCTGTTCCAGAGGAGACATTTCCTTGACCGAGACCACTCATCATATTTTGGTTCATGGGATTTCCGCTTTGCATCATCTGTGCTCCAGAATGACTTCCTTGATTCATCCCTTGCATTGGTTGCGAAACACCAATGTTTGACGCAACATTTGACGTTGTTTGAGGACTAAAGGCATTATTAGGAGCCGGGCTTTGTCCCGCTTGTTCAGTCCCCCCTAATGCACCCGAACCAGCCATTGAAGTAATTCCCTGCTGTCCAGATGAAAACGCAGTTTGTGAAGGAGGCAGAGATGTAGCCATTCCTGTTGATATCATATTTGACATATGCATTGCAACCGCACTCTGCCCAGACGAGGATGCACCCGCCAGAGCTGCAGAGCTCATGACTTGTCGAACTTGGGAAAGATTATTCAGCAGATTTACATTAGCTCCACCAGGAGGGCCAGTACGCAATTGTGGCGTCACTCCACCAACTACAGGCTTAATATCTGGTGCATTCTCGGCTTTTGTGACCATTTCTTGAGAGACTGGCGATGCTGAAGATGTTTGAACTGAAGGAATTGCTTGTGTAGCAGGCCGAGCTACGGCCGGGATATGAGAAAAAGTTGAAACTGCTGCCATAGAAGATACCGTGCTAGGCTCCTGAATTTTAATCCCCAAAATCCAATTATTTAAATAGGATATTTAAAAGAACTTAACATTGGATCAACTTAACTGAATTTAAAACAGTATTCTTACGTCTTATCAAGCAGCATAGAATAAAATTACAATCCATTTGCAATTTATGTATAGCTTTTATTAAATAAACAAGAATTAGTTTAGTTGACAATAAAGCAACCTCCTACAACTGACTAAATAGATCTAAACAGACTTACAACTTTCACAATAGCAGTAGGAACTGGTCCGACAGAGACTGGTTGCCGATTCATAATAGGTCCATTAGCTGGAAAAAAACCACAAAAATTGATCTTTACATAGAAAGAAGCAAGATAAACTATGAAAGACGCATAAAAAAAAGAAAGCAAGATAGTTCAACTAAGAGAAGGGCATGGCCAGAAGAAAAACCTGATGGCACAGGAGCTAGAGGTTGACCAGTGACTGGAAGCGATGTAGCAACAGTGGCCCTGTCCACTTTCACAGGGCTTTGGGTGGTCTGTGGCAAATTCGTAGCAGAATGACTTAAGGCAGCACGTGCCTCCACAAACTTCTCTGAGACCAGGACAAGATAGAATGTGTTCTTAACCGTGTCGATTGAGAAGTCCGGACTTTGTGGATTGAGCTTTCCCTGCATTTAAAAGAAAACTTCAGTTTGTAGCATTGAGAGCTGGCTGACAAAAACCATTTATGCAAGATAAAAATCTAATAAATTGAAGATAGGTAGACATGCAGTCTCACCGCATTGTATAGTGCTCTTATCTTTGGAAGCTGCTTTGGGCACACAACAGATAATGAAACAGAGCACTGCACACCAATATGGTAGGTTAGTGATTCCCAATTTAAGAAGAACGAAAAGTAATTGTAGCCAGTTGTAATACATGGGAATTCATAAAAACCTACCCTAGAAAAATATGATGCCACTGTCTCGGCATCTGATAAACGACTTTCCGACTGCGCACTGCCATTTTCATTCCTTTCAGCATTTTGCAATTTAGGACGATATACAGGTGTTGGCAACGAGTAAGGGTTGCTGGCTGTGATTAGGATACAATGCCTTTTCAGATCATTACTTGGTTGTGCTTGACCTGAAGGAGGAGAAAACATCTGCACCATGAAAGACAAAATCATGAGGTTTCAGGATCTGACATCGCTGACAGAAGCAGCATTATATACAATGAAGAAACAGGAAGAAAAAAAGGATATAGTTTCACTAAGAAAGTAAACTAGTCAAAAGCCGCTTAAAACACAGTGGCCCAAATTTATGTATTTCAAGTTGGTGCATAGATAAGTAAAGATCAAGTTTCCCACCATCAATGCTTCGGCAAGCCCTTCAGCTGTGGCAGCCTCATTGAAACCACCACCGGAAAATTGAATGCAGGAAAGCCAATGTAAGAAAATATCAACATCTTTTGTCCAGCCACTCCGTTGTACCAAGCAAGCTAAGAAGAACAAAATGATCAGAACAACCAAGGCCATGGAAAAAGCGCACAGTATAATGTTTGTATTTGGATATCACAGTAAAAGAGCGCAAAACATACCACAATATGAACCATGAGAGTTGAAGATGACAAGTGATAGCTCAACATTAGAAACAAGGTTCCTCTGCAAGATTAACGAATATACAAGAATCATCAACCATCGAATCAGACATAACAAACTGCCTACTTGCTCTTTTAACTTTTGTATGGCAATGATTTGACAGATACCGGGTTGTTATATATAAAGAAGTGTTTAGTAATACACAAACAGCAATACGAAACATGTTAGCTCAAAAATGAAAACTTGAGTTTACTGAAAAAAAAAAAGAGAATGAGTCAGATACAGTACCTCCCCGTTTAACTCAGCGCCACAGAAAGACCTGGACAAACACAAACAGAGCGCATTAACAGATGACAGAAGTAAAATATAAAAATGCATAACGATTTCGTATGCAAGGGGAAATATAAGCACTAGTGAAGATAAGAGTAGTGGAGTTAAAAGAGCTTTCTAAAACATCTTAATACTAATTCTAAGTGATGCAAGTGAGAAGATTACTTATACAATATACATTGCTGGATATGATTTGTAATCAAAAACACTATCCTCCTCACACATAATTAAGGCTAACAGATTCTTCTTCTTCAAAATTCGGGGGGGGGGGGCGATAAACTAATTTAAAACCTATTTTGAAATTACTCGCACAAGGTTCGATCTAACCTATGGCCTGATTCAGCTTTAGCCACAAGATCAGAAACCCTAAATTGGAAGAAATCAAAATCGAGGAGATAGAAGTGAAGGAAACCTAATAATTTTCTCGAGATAGTCGGAGACGATGGTTTGCCAATAAGGACCCAAGGCTGCGGTGCCTTCAGCGACGACGATTAGCTGTTTCAACTCCGACGACATGATCGGAACTCCGACGAGAGCTGTTAGGTGAATCGGAAGAAGATACGATAAGACTCTCAGTGTGTATCACGTGGAATGGATTGTTTGATCTTCTCAAGAGCTAACCGTTTTCGAGTTTCTCGGGGGGTGGGGGATTTGATCTTTGTGTTCCTTCTTTGAACGTTTCTTTAGACCTCCGGCAAAGGAGGAAATATATAGTCGAATGTCGAATTTTGGTTTGGTCACTCCAAATTAAATTTTTATTTTTAGAAGTTTGAAAGACTTCGATTTTTCTACACCGACCTCTCATGCAATTTTATTTAATTTGGTAAGGGGTAATGAAATATTGGTTAATTGTGTGTTTATGACAGCTTTTATATTACAACCACTAGAAGAAACAACAACACTTCTTTTATTTGCTTATCCATTCTTGTCATTCTCACCCAAATTAAGAATATCTTAGCTTTTCCATTTAGGTGCAAATCATACATCTTCTACTTACCTAAAAGTTTTAACTTTGTATACTATAATGGATATCCAGGCGAAATTAAGCGTGGGGATGTTGATAATAGTTTGTTGTTGTAGTTTTAAACTATAGTTTGGACAGTAATTTAATGTTTAGTATATTAGTGTTTTCCGATAAAGAATAAGGCATCCATGCTAGTTGATGGAGTAGCACTGTGTTCTTGTATTTGTACTTCACGGGAACATATGTTAGGTTATGCTAGATAGGTGTGAATGCAATAAAGGAGTTGTGTATTTTGGTATTATGATAATGTAGTCTATGTCAACCTGAACATTTAAGTATTAAAATTTTGAAAATTCACTTCTCATTATAGTGTATATGCGGACAATTACTGAGGTAAAAATAAAGAATGCAATATTGAAAATGTAGCAAAGTTCAATTAAAGAAAGCAAAATAATATAAAGAAACTTTAAAATAGTTAACTTTTGGTGCGCTGAACTGGGAAGATCGTCTCAGACAGAGGTCGGCAAAAGGTGAGTGGCCGACTGGTGGTTGCAAGACAATAGCCTCAGGCGGAGACATTCTCAGATCTGGTTTCTAGGTTTGCGAGAGGAGAAAACTTTTGAGTGCCTTTATGATTGACGATGCTCTCGGGGGTTTTCTAATTTATACTAGAAGATGTAATTTGGTGGTTTCATTGTTTGGAAAGGGGGAGAAAGAGTTCATGATCTTTAGTGGTCGTAATATGGTACAAAGCTTAATTGTTTAATTTGAGAAGTACATGAAAGGGTGGAAAACAGAGTAGAGATTGATGTGTTTAATGGTGATAACAAAGAAGAAAGAAAATCTAAGTGATTTAACGCTAATACGTAAAGTTTTAATGATTTATTTATAAATTATCATTGGATACTTTTATATGGGGCATATAAGTCAATATTTGAAAGTGACTATTTCGAGAATGGGTATTAAAATTTATTCGGCCTATAATGTTTATAACTAGGATAAGACCTGCGCCTTGCGCAGGGTGAATATATGTAATTAAAATATAAAATTTTAATATTCACAAATTTAAAATTTACATATGATTGTTTTTGTATGTATTTGAAATTTTAGAATTTTGGAATTTTTATATAATTATCTATACGTATGATCAAAAACAATTTTAATTAGAAATGTAAATCAAATCTTAG